GCCGGGCTGCCTTCAGACTTCTGCAGATACAGCTGGACAGAATTTGGCAGGACTGCTTACAAATGCCTTCAGACTCCTTTTGGTATTAAACCAGTGAGTTGACTTAATAGCCATTGTTTCCCTAGAAAAAACATTAAAGATGACATTTCACCATAGACACTTCATTAAAATAGCGGGTGCATGAAAATATTTCAACACTCAAAAAAGATACCACTGCCAAGTTAAGAGACCTTGAATTCTTGTGTTAGAGCACAGCTTTGCTCTTTATTTGATGTGACACTGTTTAAGAAAGTCAGGAACCTCTGCTTATTTTTACCTCATTTTTATTTTCTAGCACTTTACTAAAGCTTAATATCACGCTGCACAAAGTCTTGATACAAGTCTGGAGGGGAAAGTGGTCAAACCCAGGCGGAGGGAGCCCGCTGGGGCAGGGTTGATGCCCGGAGAGCAAGGTGCAGGCAAGCAAGGGAAGCAAGCGAGCAAAGAGGCCAGGGCCCGACGGGTGCCTGCGGGCACAGCGGAGGCCAGTGGCCCCTGAGAGCAGGAGCAGTGGGGCTTGTCCCCAAGGGAGCAAGGAGGGGCTGGGTGGAGGGGGCTTTGCAATTTCAGAAGCCACCAAAGTCTGTTCTGCAGCCTAACGCGAGGTTAAAACCTGATCTGGCAAGACACAAGGTGGGGAGGGAATTTGCTTGCAAAAAAACTTTTCTCCTTACTCAACTCACGAGCTTTTCCCATTTTAAAATTGTTCTAGCTCACAACTGCCTGAAGCCTGGCTTTTTGCATTTAGAGCCCTCTTGGTGCTTTTTAGGGTATTCACTTTGAAAAAAAGCCCTGGCAGATCTTTTTGGCTGCCTTCAAACCCTGTCATGGCATGGCTTCAGTCAGAAAGGTACCACAGGGAGGTAAGCTGTCAGCACAAGTGAATATTTGTACAAAATGCTACGCACACTTGTGACTTCGTATCAGGCAGTTGGAAAAAACAAAAGCGTCAGATATTGAGGTATCAAGAATTAATTGAAGCTTAATAAGAGAATTCCTCCTTCTGCCAGGATTGCGGTTCCTTTAGTTTGTAGATTTTAGTTTTGACCATCATATTTCTATGGCCATTCAGCATTATGGAATGAGCAACGGCTGTCAGAAATATTTCTACTCCTGGCGTGATCACTGGAGTATCTAGGGGTGATGCACTGAGTGGCTGCTACCCAGAACAAGAGCTTTCAGGATGGTTTTGGAGGAGGAACACTAAACCTTCTGCTTGACAAATGAGTGTGTCACAACAGGCCACAGAGATGCTTTGAAGTAAGGTATGACAAGTTAAAACCTAAAGATGGATCAAACGAATACAGAAATGAAAAACCTCCTTTCCTCCTTACAAATATAATTCCCCAGTGCATAACATTTTTTAAAAAAGCAGATACAAATCCATCCTGTGCTCCTGCCTCCCCGTCTACAACTGCTTGTGGTCCAAGTAGAACACCCCCCCCACCACCACCCCCGTACTTCTGTCAAACTCTGGCAGCTTTCTGGCATGGCACTGCAGAATAACCTTGTACATTACAGGGACTAAATGGAATAAATAATCTTTGCATGCAGTCTGTGACTTTCAGATATAAAGAATTCACATTTTATTTGAATATACTTCTCCAGGTCAGAGAAGCACCAAGCAGACACTCTTGAAGCTGTCATCAGTAGCTTGTTATTTTCTAGAAATTCCCTGTTTATTCAGTCCTGCTGTAATATCAGAAAAAAACCCAAACCCAAACAGTTCCTCAAGACAGATGCACCTTTTAGTCATTTATCCACCACAGAGTCTTGTGGATGCTTAAGCAATACATTCTTCTGGCAAAGACCAGAAGACATTTGGACCCTTCCCAATCTGGTTTCAAGCTTGTCAGCACTGTTTTAAAACAACATAACCAACATTACACAGGCTGCCCCTGTTTTGAGTTGGGCTTGGACAACACGGTCTCTGGGGAACCCAGCCAGCCCAAATTTTTCTAGGATTTCAACACACATCGCGATGGTTGGACCCCACTCATTGCAAGTACCACATTGACAAGGCAGTATCTTCAGGGGTTCATTGGCAATTATGGGCAATGGTAATGTTGTTCATGACTGCTACTGGATTTTTCGGCACTATTATTATCAGCCTTGTTACCTACTGAAAACCTGCTGTGTGTTCAGCCATCAGCTTTCGTTTGACAACCCTGGCCTCTTTGACCCTATGCTGTCCTGCACCTATGGTTGTTGTAATGAACTGGACCTTTGGGGCTTGTTTCTGCCAAAACTCAGCTATGCTCTATCGATTATTTGCCTCGGAAGGAGCTGCCATCTGGTTGATTAGCATCGACCATTTTCTAACCACTGTCCAGAGGCACAACTAGCTGAAATGCCACCGTGCCAAAGCCACAACTGGGTTTTTTCCCGATGCTTTCTGCATTGCCTTTCCTCCACTGACCGGATGGATGGTTGGGGAAATGCAAACTAGGGCTCTCCAGGATGTATTTCCTACCGGCTGAGCTAACAAAGCGATGCTTGTTGCGGCGACATTTTTCATTCCTTTCAGCATCATTCAGCACTCCAACCTTTGCATCCCAGGCACCCTCTGTACGAGCGTCCTGAGCACGCACCAACACGCCCTTTGCTTCAGCCAAAGGAAGAAACTTGACCTGATAGGGCTGTAGCAATCTTGCCAGGTGAACATAGACTTGAATTTCAATGCAAGAGCCCTTCACTATGGTTCCCACTCTGCTGGATTTTCACCGTGCCGGCTCCCCAGCTACATAGTGCACAACATGCCTTCGGCATCCAGTAAATGCCTGCAGTGTTACTAGCACCTACCTTGCCTGGCTGAGGGCTTGCCCTGTCCTCCACCACGATGCTTCAAGAGGTTTGAGCTGAGCTCAGGCATAAGCCATCCAGGATTCTCCCCAAATAGGAAAAATAATACAACCTATGCTTCTGATGAGAGACACCCAATCGACTAAGCAGCGGTGTCAGGGAAGTAGTTGAAAATCAGGGAAGAACTAGCCAAACTGCACAAACTGTGCTCCTGCATCTCTCTTTCTGACCACTCCATGAGTTTTTAATGCACAAACCAAACTGGAGAATGAGCACGTTCCCATTTGTCACTTGGCTTTGAGACACCAAATAAAACCAGAACAGCACAAGACTGTCAAAGCCACTCTTGCAACTAAACCCAGGTTGACTGAATGGCACGTAGCTACTGCTCGACAGTCTTTACAACATTATTTCTTTATATAAACTTACTTTTGGCTAAAAAATGCAGCAACAAAAAAAAGACAGGTGAAAATATTATTTACACAAATTTGAAACAAGCAGCAAGTCCTGAAGATTAAACAGCATAACCAAAGAACCAAGTGATTTTTAGCACAAGAGCAGTGAAATACTAAGGTGACAGATTCACTCAAACCAAAGTTAAGCTGCGGTTTCGGTGAGGTCTGCCTACTTTATAGTTTGCCAGGACAACCATTGCATCCCCAAGCTGCATGTGAGAGAGAGGGATGTAGCAGGCAAAGGACGTACTACCCCCTCAGGACACGTAGGCCCACGCCAATACCTAAACCTAGCAGTAGCCACTTCTCCTCCTGCTTGGTTACCTGCCACATTCTCTTAAATTCCTTCCAGTGATGGTTTTTCAGGACTGAGAGACATTTCATCCAGTTTTCCCATTTCTCATGACCCAAACGCCACCACTTGCCTACACTTTCTAGCCAGCATCCTCGGTACATTTTGGTCACGTACAGTATTTCCTCTATATCATGGGCAGGGAAGCTGCAGGGAGAAAAGACCCAAGCACATGCAGAGTGGGGCTGGGGACCAGCTGAATTAGGTTGCACCTACATGTCCTAGACACAGATTCCTCCCTTTTCTGCACTTTTTCTTTGCATTCTTCCCTCCCTGCCTCCCCTTGGAGGTAACGCTGGCTTCCTTGGCTTGCCACATTCTCTTTGCCATCCCTTACCAATCCTCCCTTTCCTGGGGTTTCCTCATCAGCAGGCCCTATAGTGCCACTGTGGTGGCCCTGGCTCCTTCTGCTGGAAGTGGGAAGAGGGGGACACCTGGCCCTTTGGACCTGAAGCTTGCTCTGAGCCAGGGCCATTACTCCTGAGCAGCAAGGAGGAAGCTGAGGAAAGCTGGCTCCCTGCTGTAGAGTAGGTAAGTGCCAGCATCATTTCCACACTGCAGGGATGCAATCACCCCCTTTTCCCGGGACACGGGCTAGCCTTGAGCAGTAATTGTGCTTTTGGCCTCCTAAGGTCGCATTAGGGATCTCTAGTACTAAGTGCCATCCCACTTTCGTAGCACTTGCATCCTTGTTTTCCCTAAACGTTTGTGTTTATTAAAGAGAGCTCCAGTAGAGAAGCTGCAGATTAAGCTCTCTTTCTACCTGGTGCCAGAGGGGCCTCGGCAAACAGCAGCCGCTTTTACTGCTCTCAGCTACCAGCCTACGCTCCCAGATCAACACGGACCCTGTATCCAGGTCTTCCCCTCCAAGGGCTTTAGTATTTCTGTTCGTACCGCTCCAGGATGCCCACGCACCGTCACTGGCCAGACTCCCCCTGTAACCACCGGCTTTAACCAGGGAAGGGATGGCTTCAGCTACGCAGAGACAGAGATCAAGATCTTCCAAATCTGTAATGGCAGCAGCCGCTTTCACCTGAATCTGTAAAAACCCAGGTTAAGTCAAGGAAGCGGTAAAAGACAAAGTAAAACTTCTTCCCCAAACTAAAATTCACTAGTTTCGAAGAACACCCATTTCTCTCCTTTAACACCCTGCACTTGCTCAGTTCAGCCTTTTCACCTGGCCACCTCTGGCGGTCACCCAGATGAATCCTCTGTTTACCACTGAAGAATCTTCCTACTTCACGTGGCGATTCACATCCCAGGGTTTACATATCCATGAATGAATGACAGAAACATAATTAAAAGGTTTTTTTTTTATTAAAAATCACATATATATACATTTGTACATTCCACATACCGCTATGTACGTTCACCAACATAACCATTAAGTCAGAGAGTGCGAAGAGCACAGATTTCCATCTGAAGAAGTTTACTGCAGGGGGACTTCAGGATTGTAATCAATCAGACACTACAGAATGTCATTAGCTCCTTTTCCCTTTAAAAGCAGCAGCACGTTTAATTATCAGTGTTCACAAGGCATAAGCCCCAAAGTGTTGTACAGCAAGAGAAAAATTAATTAGTAAATATAGGCAATAGGGGGAGAGCTCACAATGAGAATGTGGTAGTTGCTGCCTATTGCAAACAGCGGGGTGTTAATAAAACACTCAAGAGCTGCGCTGAATAGAGACTGCAGCAAATGGGGAGGAGTAATAAAGGTTACTTCTTGATATAACTGCATAAAATAAAGTATTTTTAATGTCATTCAGGATAGGAGAACAGACAGTTTATTTTTTTTTTGTTCAGCAGAGTCAGGATAATGCCTGTGTGGTCAAACATGTGATAAAGGTCTCAGAAAACATAGGCATACTCCAACTCTCCCCCACACTTTCCCACAGTTGGTGTTGTTAAGAGTTTCACGTGGCTGATGTGACATTTTACCAAACACAGACAGATGCACTCCACCAGAACTCCACCAGAACACCCAGAACCCAAGATTGACACCCATGTCAATTAAGCGTGCTAGAAGAGTGACATCAAGCAGGTAATGAAGGCTGGAAAGTTTTTGGAGATTGGGAGCAGGGTGGGCAAAGAGAGGAGTTCTCACCGTCACCCAGACTCCTGTGCACACCTGAGCCCCTACAGAAGGGGCTGCCTGAAGAAGTCCGTTCGTAGGGACCTGTGGTGCGCTCTGTGCAACAAAAACCAATTCCTTATTTTCTCCAGACTTTGAGATCAGTATTCCTGTAATGTTACCGACGTGATAACTTATCCCTTTAAAGCATAGAAATGAAGACCTAACTGAATTCTCTCTCGGAAACGTACAGCCACTAATCTTAGTTCAGGCAGAGTGCCAGATTCTGGGCAATTTTTTCTTATTAGTATTTTTCCTCTCTTTTTGACTTCGAGGGGGGAAAAACTGCCTATGATGACATATACACATCATAGGTAATTTTTACGTGAGGAAAAGTAGAGATATGGAAGAGTAGAAAAGGGGGTTTGTGCTTTTTGTACATATCAGTGACTGTAGCGGAGGACGGCTAAAAAAAATAAAAGCCAGAGCTGCAGTATTTCTGTAATTAGAAGCTACGTGTTAAACAAATGTGCCTCAGTATCTGCAAAAACATTTCAGTGAGAGACTAATCTCATTTATTATGTCCTGAATCGTAGATACATGGTTACATTTAAAAAAAAAAAAATGCACTACTGTTTTGGTTTTCACACATACAAAGTTGGAGGAGACTCATTGGAAAAAAAAAAGTGTGAGAGAGAAATTACAAACACAAATAATTTAGCAAGAGCTGAATTAAGAAAAAATATTCTGACAGAATCTCCTCTCTCCAAGGGCAGGTCTAGGACGCTAAGATTCCCTAACTGGGGAGAAAAAGATTGCATCAAGCTTAAACTCCCAGAACCCATTTAATTTCCAAACTAGAAGGATGGTAAAAGAAACTTTCCTCTTTCCTGCCTCTCCTGCTTCATGTACCCAGTCAGCAATTAATAACCACATTACCCCTCCTTCCCTCCTTGCTGCTGCAACCACACCAGAAGAGAATTTACCCCAGCAGCGATGCTGTCCCAGGACTCCAGGCACACAAACCAAGGATGAGCAAACCAACAGTGCCGAAGTAAAAGGAGGGATGAACTCAGGCTCTCCAGTGTTTAGTTCTCTTACCCAAGGGGTGGTGTAGTTGTCCTAACCTAAGGGAATTTGAGTGCAGACCTTTCATAAATCTCCCAGTGATAAAGTATAGGAAACCACGCAGCACTGTGACGTAGGCTGTCACTTGCCGCTGGCATTATCGGAGCATTATCCCAATTGCTCACACGCTGCAGGCACACTGGAAGAGCATCCTCCACCTGCCACCTCCCTGCTGAGCTCCTGGCTCTACCTCAGCCTCACACTGGTTTGGTTTTTTTTTTTTTTTTTTGCTTTTTTTTTTTTTTGTTACCATGGGACTTCCATATTAATTCATCCAAAGGAGTTCTAGTATAAAATTTAGCAAAGAAACAGGTAACAATGCATGAATCAAATGTCAGTATTTTTCCAGCCCACATTTTTGGAGGCTAAAAATTAGATCCCCCAACTTAAATATTAATCAGCCTTTTGGTCATCTATGATTGTAAATATGCTACCTTGCATTATTCCAATTTCTGTATTTGTCCTGTATGCACAATTATTGTTACTGCTGCATTTTAGCCAAAGTACAAATCTGAAAAAATACCACATATTAATAAAGAATTGTTTAATCTTTTACAGCCATACCTTTTCATGCAGTAACAACTAAGAACTTCCCCGTGGTCTGGAATGATACAATCTCTACTGCATTGCGACACAAGTCGACAAGACTAAGTTCATCAGTACCTAGTGGCTAGAATTAGCCTTAATCGTGGAGAGTGGTACTTGTTTTAGTACCTCCTTATTATATAGGAACAAAGCACACTGAGGATGCTTGCAGCAAAAGAATTTCTTACGAATCATGTGCTACCGTACACAAAAGGCTTATCAGAGCTTTGTAAACTCACTCCCTCTCTATTGGCAAGGAGGACAGGGGACTACAAATTTGTCTGTGTCATCATTGCCAGTTGTATACACAGCGTTTGAAAACCATGAATACAAAAGAATCTGCTCATACCAGTGCCACACAGGAGAATCATTCATGCCAGAATTAAGTCAGAAACGCCCACATTTGTCTTTCTTGAAGGTGCCTTTCACTAAACGTGGCTTACGTCTCTTAGCAGAAAGTGCTACGGAATACCTTACTTGGATTTTATTATTTTTTTTTTTTTTAAAACCCAACACAGCTCTACTTTTCCAATTTTTCAAACTCAGGAAAGAGAACGATCCAAAGGTCGTTTACTTCAAAGACAAAGACATGGATATTTTTCTTCCCCTGGATGTAGCCTGGCTGCCCCTTCCTGGAGGCAGCACTGCGCTTACAAGGCTGTTTCATAAGCCAGCCTTCCCCTAACAGAACAGCTCTGCCGAGACCACGTCTGGAAGACACGGTGCAGATATCCCATTTTGCTGAAAGTCTCCACTCTGATCGCGAACACTGAAACAGTGAGCAGCCACACCACCAACTCCATTGCACGCTGGCCAGTAAGCTTGGTATTTATTAGAGCTTTAACAGAATTGAAATAAATGCTTTGACTTTGAAATACTTAACTTTTATTTAAAGTCATTATTTTTGAACACCTCTTGGGGGAAGCTGCTTCTTTTAAATAGATTGCTTTAAAAATGGTTAAATAGCAATGTGAATACTTACCAGGGCAGCTAAGTAAAGGGTTTTTGTTATTTGAAAAACCTTTGTTTACAGAATGTTTTGCAGAATATAACAAAACCAGTACTCCTGTAGTGCACCTTTGTAGATTTCTTCCCAATTATACCTTCCTTCTGTGACTTTTGATTGCACAAAGTCATCCATGAGTACTAAAACCTATTCTCCTGGAGTTCCAATCTGCCTAAGTTATGTTACAGCAAACATCTAGCACATAGCCTGTACACTTATGTATCAGCCTCATCTTCACCCTCCAAAGAAACTCTAGAATGATATAAGGTCAATTTATTCAATTGTATGTACAGTATATTTGCATATTAATAAATAAATCAATATTAAAGTTAAGGTCTCTTCCCCCATATGAAAGTGAACACAGTCTGACTAGACAATCTGACTTTGCTTTTTTAATTCCAAGCACAGCTGTGTGACTGAGGCAAACAGTTTCCACTCAGTTTATTACAGTAACTGTAGGAGTAGAAACCTAACAGACCAGTGCTTACATTTAAATTCTTGGGGGGGGGAGAAGTACTAAAAAGTGCATCAAAAGCCAACAATTTGTAGAGCAAAAATCAAGTTCATAATGTGATCCTGGGGAAGAGAATCCAGATCAAAAAAGGACATGCTGCAGCAAACATTACAACCGATGCACATTTTTGTCTTGATAGTAAGCTGCATGATGCCAGTCTCGTCACATAATGTTCCAAGAATTCCAACTCCCGTAGATGCCATCTCCACCTCTACAAATTTATCAACACCAACATCCAGTGCAAAGTGACATTTCTTAAAATAACTGTTTGCCTTGTCTCCATAACATTCATCCTTACTGTGAAGAAAGGCTCGATTTCTTTAACTGTTTATTACTATATACAGAAGAGCCTCTATTTGCACGTTTCCATTTCTGGTAGTGAATTTCCTTTTCTGTCTACATTCATTAGAAATCCAAAAGGTAAGTGGTGATATTTCATATTTACTGGAAGTCTTCCCATTAACCCAAAGAGTAGCTGTTCATCTTGATTTATACCTAAAGTAGCTGCACGTCGTTCTTTTTTCCAGCCCACTTCCAACAGGATACAAGTCATGGCAACCTGTGGGACCGGAACATATTTCAAGTCTGATTGCTGGAGCCAGAAGAGTGATGAGTCATGTTTGAATTCAGATGTCTGTTTGCAGCACAGTGTGTGTGGACCATACCCCCATTTGGGTATCTTACAAATACAGGCTCGCAGAAAGGATTTTGGCACACCTGACAGACCTTTTTGTCCGAAAGAAGAATTGGGATTCCTTTTTGTTTAACCTAAAGAGAGGGGGGAAAAATCCAAACATGAATGTAGCTAGAAAGGAAGGGGTATTATGAGTTATGTAATTTCAACGGTACAAAAGGGACAAACCCGGTCAATGATAGAGGCAGTAGGTAAAGACAGCTTGAACTATTTAACTCAAATTCAATTTCCACAAACTTGAATTCCACTTCCACATTCACACTCATTCATTTTCATGCTTCCTCTTAAGTACTTCCCCCCCACCCCCAGCTTTTTTTTTCTTCGCTGTTTGTTTATTATGCAACTGAAAACCCAATGCAGCTTCCTAAACAACTGAACACTGATGCATTTTTATTCCAGACAGATTCTGCTGGATATACCGTTGTTAGAACTAAACAGATTTAAGAATCTGCTGGCAGCTTTAAGCAACACAGCTCTAGCTACAAACAGAAGAAAGCTTCACAAGAGAATTTACCACTAACAAAAGCTACTAAGAAGCTTCACTTACTACTAAGTGCTGGGCAAACTTTTTTGCAAATTCTGACAGGTCACAATCCTAGTGAAAAAAAACGCTAACTCACATTCGTTAAAGTTTCTGCAAGAATTTTGTTACTCTATAAATCCCAGATTCACTTTAATTCAGCCCAGAAATTCAACAGTTGTGCCTATTCAAAGGACCCCACCTTCCCTTTTGTTTTACAGAGAAAGCATAAAATTAAGTTTGAATCTAGTAGTCATGGCAAGAAAAACTAATAAATGCAGCAAGGAAAACTGCCAAGGACATGAAGACAACTTTGTCCTAATTCTTTAAACTTCTTCCGATTATTATGTATCAAAGGACTTAGTTGTAAAGCTTCAAGGTGCCTTTATTTAAAAAAAAAAACCAACCCAGAAACAAACAAATCCAAACCCAACCTACCTTCTCGTATTTGTAGATTAAGTTTTCAGCTTGTGCTAACCCGAGTGCTGTCTGAGTCATTCTCTTTGTATGAATGCTTTGTCTCACTGCTCCAGCCAGGAATGGGGAGAGGAGCTGCACTGACCAGCTGTCAGGCACCAGCTGCAAAACTAGGGCCGCATCAAATTCAGCAGCGTGGTTATTCAAGAGATCCACAGCAGCCGTGACGAGCGCACAATCCAAAGTGCCTGGATTTAGATACACTGACAGCAGCATATGGAAAAGCCTCCGCCTGTACTGCATCTCTCTGTTCTTAGAGTTCCACATACAGTATTCTTCAGCAGCATGGAAATCCTTTAACTCGTTGACAAGGATATGCAAAGCCTTCTCATGCTCTTCCAATTTTCCATATAAAATTGCACTTTCCATATGAAGGTCCGTGCCCTGGATTTTGTCTGTTAAATGAGAAACAAGGCAATATTTGCTCAGTGGAGAAGACAACTACTCCCTCTCCCAGCGTCAATGCAAACAAGCCCACAGAATTCAACTCCTGCTATTTTTGCAGGGGTGCTGGCAGCTATTAAGAGGACAGGTGTTTGTAAGTACAAGAATGTCTAGACATATGGAAACACATCTCTAATAAAAGAGCATCACAAAATACAGGAAAAAGAAATTACTAAATAACAGGTGATAAAACCAGGGTCACTGACATCTTTTAACTTCTAGCCCATCAGTCTTGCGCATTTCTGAGCACACCGCTACCATGTGTGATAAACTCTAAGATGATGCCATGATGTTGTTAACCTCTGCTTCTCCCAATATTATAGAAAATTACAGAATAGTTTGAAGTCCATAAAAGACAATAAAGATCAAATAGTACTTCCCTTTAAGAAGGTAACCCTTAATCCAGTCTAACAGTTTAAAGTGTCAGCAACAGGCAGGGAGAATGGCAAGTTCATCTGGCATTTCAAGATAAAGTAGAAATTCCTCTACTTATTGTAAAGGTGATACAGATTTGGCATAGGCCTCTGTAAAAGGTATGGAAATACAATGTTTTTCTCCCCAAAATATTTTGGTTATCAAGGAGGAACACACTAGCATGCAACCGATCTCACCTTCACGTAAGGTAAGAACCACCATGTAAGAAAATCCTATGTTTTGGTGTACATGGATTTCAAGAGAATAATCCATCTTGTAACTCTTACACTTAAGAATTTGGTTAAAAATTAGAAGATTAAAAAGAGCAAGAGTTTCAAGGACTGTGTTATACTTGTACATTACCTGTCATATAAAGTTTTGCTGACTGGAAAGGCAAGGGGACAGTAATTTAGCTCAACTGTTGCTTGCCTTATGCCAACAGTAAGGTGTATTTTGCACTTCTCACTCAAAAAGATGCTCATATTTTTGTTTAGCATAAACCCCAGCTTTTGGGGTGAGAGTGGGTTATGGACAACAAACAAGTCCTCGGTAATCAGATTGCTCAAAGCTTCGCTTCAATTCACTGAGAAACCGACTGATTAACAAATAAATTTGTAAGTTTTCCATTTGCAAAAGACTGTCACACCTTACATGCTCACCATTTACAAGAAATTGACTATAAATTAAGAAGATAATTGTATGAAGGTATTTTTTTCTAGCTAGTTATGGTTTTCTCTCTTTGGTGCAGTGGCAAACATACCATTCTACCTCACAAGCTACGGGAGATGAAAGACGATGCTAACAGATAGGCTTTCTGAATTAACTCATGTCTGTTAGAAATACAGATGGTAATCCTATCAACCCAATACACCTAGAAACCTCAGCTCTTTTAGTTTTCTATCCTTATGAGGATTTAATTTTGTTTCCTGCTGGAACTGACATATAGCATTTGTAACAGATAACATGCATCTTACCCAAAATAAAGTGAATTCTATAAAGATCAGATTTCTGAAGAAGACTGCGTAGTTTGAACAGTAGCTCAGTTCTTTCTGTACAATTATCGGTGGTCACAGATTTTAGCTGAAGTATTGCCTCCAAGTACAAGACAGCTAGATGAGTATGGTACTTCTCTTTCTACAGATGAAAAGAACAATCTTAGCTCAGCTTACAAAGACAACCCTTTCTCCCCACCAATAACAGCGATGAATATTTACATAATTACATAGGAATGTGTTAATTAATTTATTTAATTCAAATTAATCAGAAAGTCTTTTTTTCATGCAGATAGACAACTTATTCAGACCAGCTTCACAAAATACACTATACCTATAGTATGGGATTCTCTAGTTCATTAATACAGGTATTTCTAAAATATAGGTATGAAACATCTTATTCCTAAACCTCTCTTCACCTTAAATAAACAAGCTCTACAAATAGCTTTTCTTGCGCAAAAATTATTTCCTTCCAAAAGTTCACCTAACAGAAGTCAATGCAGTAAAGCAGATCGCTCTCCTTTGAGCACAAGTATGATGTTCACTGTATCTTGTCCTCGTTTCCCTTGTAAAATGAGTAATTTTGATCCAGTTATTTTTTTTCCTCTCACTCAGGTATGTTCTTTCACCTTTTCTATTTCTGTAAAGTTTGAGAACACCACTAGAGGTAGACAAGCACTCTGAAGGCACAGTGCTCTTTATGTTATCCACTGCCCAATATTCATCAAAACAAGTTGATGATTTGACTGTTTGATACATTCTCACTAAAGCATTCACATTAATCTAGTACTTTCTAAAGACCAAATCAATTTATAAGCCAGCCTTTATTAGCAGGTAGATTTAATTATAAATTATTTTTGTTACAAATATTTTACAAGGCATTCAAAAAGTTTGTTTGAAAGTATTCATGACATCAGAAACTAGTACGTTTATCCGTCATGGCGTCACACACCTTGACATATTTGCAATAGCAAGAGGCAAACCATTGATCTAGCATATTTATTTGAAGAATGTAAATTAGTGAACTGGTCATCAGCCCCGCTGAGTTCTTTCAATGTTAATTTACTTGCTTTATTTGCAGATTCAAGTAACTTCTCCTGTGCTTAAAATGTCTCATACCTGAGCACCATAATGCTTGAATGCTTCTGATTGTGCTTAAAAGCCCAAAGGTAGAGTACACTGTTACTTATGACTTGTCAACACAACTTTTGGACATTCAACATCTAGAGTGGTTTGGAATTCTGCAGTAAGAGGTGCATGGTTTAATTCTATCATTAATTGTTCAAATTTCTCCAGAAGGACAGAATAAAACATACCTACTTGTAAAACACTTAATTAGCAATTTTAATATATTGCTGCCGTGCAATAGGATTAGCGGTCGTTCAAACATTTTTCTACGATCTTACCAGACGGAGGTTTGAATCTCATCGGTGAAATAGAAAAGTATGCAATACTCAGATGTAAAAAAAAAAAAAAAAACCCAACACCAAAACCCAAACCTCTTGACTGGAGGTAAGCAACTGTCTTGCCATCATGAGAGTTGAAAAGTTAAGAAAAAAAAAAAGCAAATATCCGCTCATCTCCTACTTTGATCTTAAAAACACTCCTTCCCTACTGAGTACACATGAAAGCCTTCAAATTATGCTATTTCTTCTAGACTTTGGCTTTTTTTCAGAGTTGTTCATCCCAGTCTGCATTCTGAATCCTGTGCCTATTTTTAGTATTCTTGTAGTACTCACCTCTATTTTTCTTTCCAATACTAGATGTTCTAGATATTTAACACGTGCTTTAGGATATTTGTTAAGGCAACTGATGATATCATCTGGATTAATGCTGTTTTTCTCCTGTTCTTCCAAAGGCCTTTTAGTGAAAATCTGTACGCCAACCTAGAAAGAATTAATTGCATTTAGGAACTCAGTGGCAACCATTTTATTACCTCTTTATTTTAAATACTTATTTAACAGCACTATCAGATTAGTTAGCACATTATTCAGGAAGCTAAACAGTATAAAACCATGCTCAACACCACCAAGATTACACTAGTCAGTTCTTACGTGATCTCACTCGCTCCTATCTCCATTACCTCAATTCATAGCCTATACACCGTTCAGCCTATACACTGTCCAGCCTATATTGCCTTTTGTGTTGGGCACAACCTCCACCAGCCACAAAAAGTATTGAACAGATCTGCATAACAGCAGAACAAGAGACTTCAGCCTTTGCAGCAAGGAAGTGTAAGTCAGGCACCAGAATGTTTACAGCCTTATCAAATCTGATGATATACACAGAGCAAGAGACTTCTATAATGACCAAAACAAGTTTAGAAATCTGTCGTTGCATGTAATAACTGAGCTTTAAATTAATACAAATTAGGCAGTGAAACGTTCCAACAGCACTGACTGACATCAAACATCCCATTCAACAGCACACCACACTAATGGATGTCACAAAATTATTTTTTGAATTTTGGTGAACTAAGTTAATCTTTGTAGCAATGAGGTTTTGTCTTGAATGAAGGCTACTTATTCCACATTGTAGTGCACACAGATTATCACCTGTCCCTGGAATCCTTTTAAAAAAAGAAACAGCAGCAACAGTTAAGCTGTTAGGTGATTTCTTAATTCTTTTTAAAAATGGAAAATTATCTTGCTTAATATGAAAAAACCCAGAAAACACACTGTATCTTTCACTGTACAGAATGAGTAAAACTTTGTTTTCAGAAGAAAAAGAGGCAATTATCACTAGGACTTGTTAACAGAAGGACTTAGAAGAATTGAGAAACCTGGAAGTTTTCTTCTGTTGATCGCTACTTAACTGGCATTAAACATTCTGCAAAAACGGTCCAATTAGCTATCAAGACGGAACAACGTTAATGAACACCCAAACACCACTGCAGGGAAATACTTTATATTTATGATGTCCTGTGAAAAGTACAAGCACAAACCTCTTCATCTTTTTGTAAAACCCATTCGGAGTATTTCCACACCAGATCGTGGTCTGAGCAGAATGTAAGGAAGTCTACTATATATTCATAGAGATCTGAACGTGTAGAATCTTGAATGTCTCCATCAACTATTTTCACCCATAACTGCAACAAAACCACACAGATTAAAGTGCTTAAAACATGTACAGGCTCTTCCAACCCAAAATTTATGTGAGCTATTACAACACATAGTATTACCTATTGGTACTTGCAGAATTAGAGAGAGCTCCTAGGAACACCAATTGCAAGGGACCTCACTGATCACTAAGTTTATACCTCCTCTCCATCACAGGCTTTTCTTGCACCTGCCATATTCAACTAATTCAGACCCCATATCATGTGGGTTCTCATTCTGAGGGTGATTGGCCAAATACTTCAGAAGGAGGTATACTAATCCCAAAGAAACCTTTTGATAAAAAGTCCATTTCCCCAATGCATTGTATACTTTTCACATATTCTGTGTGGGCAAGATTAAAAGCAAATGATACAAACAATTTGGAAGAAAACACAGGTTTTTTTGCTCTTCTTTCATTTTGACTGAAGAACTTTAAGTACTGTGTGAGATTATTTTCATATACATTAAAACTGGAATTAAAAGGTGCCACATCTAGCTAACCAGTTTAGCAATAAGCCTTGTTCCTGATGAAACATAAAGAAAAATATCTTGCATATGACAAAAGGTATGTACTGTTTTTGTTGTCCTTACTGGTTTTCTGCTCAGGAAAGTACTATTTACATAACTAGAGTGCATTTGACAGTGTTACTGTGATTAACCTATTCAAAAAACCACACAGTAACACAAACTACTTACGGTATTGGATATGGTAGGAGACATACATGCTATTTATTGATCAATAACATATTAAATTTTCTAGATGAAGTTTTGCAGACAGGAATAACAAAATTATTTAGTCTGCAGTCTACGGACCACTGCTAGTGTTAGTGACATCAGAAGGAGGGTCCCCAAAGTGATTACTAACCCAGCTGAAACCCACAGATCTTGCAGAATATGTTCACTGTCCATCATCAGATAAGGAAATAAACTCTCGGTTGCTCTCAGTGTCTGCCATTAGATCACAATAACTGCTTTGCTGTGTGCATACAGACTAATCAGCACAGGATATGTTCCTGAAGTCCCTCAAACACCTTTTTAAGTAATGTCTTGGTTATTTTAGTGCTTCTGTCCATCTTTTAGAAGTACAAACGTATGTTCTGCTATGCACAGTTTTGCTTAAAAAATAGCATACAAGCATCTAAATAGCTGTCATCTTCAGTAAGCTCTTCTGCTTTTTCACATCTAGAGTATTAATTTATGCAAGGAAGTATCATCTAAGTTTCCCATGTATACACATCACTACTTTTCAAACAGATGAATTAGCACCTCAGATTTTTATCTCAGAGGTAAACCAGTATTTTGGAATGTTTTACAGATGACACTAAAAGCTTTATTCTAACCTGAAGTGCTGCAGCATCCTGACCATTGTAGTGATACAGGAGACCAAGGGCAAAATACCTGTATAGAAAGAGAAAATAATATTAAAATCACTAGAACTTTCCTACCAATTTCATTATGGTTTGATTAACACAGAATATAACAAATAATTGCTTACAGTAACATGTACGTGGCCATGTCTACAGTTGAACAAGCGTCTGCAGGCTTTTTTTCAAGAATCAAAGGAGAAAAGTTCTGTCCTAGAAATGTGTCTGTCCCTCCTGTCTCTAAGGCAGCTCTAGCTACTAGTTCCAACTTAAACAGAGTACGTGTCAAATTAGAGATGATTCTCATGCTGTTCTTTGAATTTTATATACAGACTTAACACACAGCTCCAAATAACAAATATTCTGCCAATAGTTAATCAGGTGTCATTAAATCAATTTTTTATGATGCTTTTACTTAAAACTGTTTTGCTAACAGAAACATTTTTTTCTTTAACGCAGCATGAAATCAAGTCAGGCAAGGAAGAGCTTTGTACAGTGCCATTACAGAGGTCTTTTGCGTACTGTAACAAAAACACAGATAAAGTTCTGTAATGGCTGTTCTCATGGAACGATGTTCTACCATTCACATTTGCAAAAGTGTGCCATGCAATCCATACTTACCAAGAGGACTTAACAAAACACCTGAAATAAATGAAACTACCCTAAATCTAACTGCAGTTAAAGACTCCTCATCACCACTGTAGTTGCTACTATTGCACCACACAGTTTAAAGATTAAAGAAATTAAATCCCAGACAGAGACACTACCTATGACTGGAGTTTGTATTTTACACATTTACTATCTAGTGTTTCCTGCTTAATGACAGTCAATTCTCCACCTGCTGGCATTTCCAATTTGAAGTCATTTGCAGTCATCTTAAGCAACCTCCCTTTGGTGAATCAGTTTAGCAACTACAATTTTAAAGCCGCTACCTGGTTAATACCTTCTACCTAAGGCAGTGCATGCTTTAAGGCATCGTTTCATTCTGTCCAAGTACCACTACTGCGTCCATTCAACTCTCACATTGTCACAAGGGCAAACAAAGCAATTTTTTTTTCCCCTCCAAATTTGTACCAATCCTTTATTTTTGCGTTGAATGCAGAAACTTTCAGGGAGAACTCTGTGTTTACCAGCATAAGACAGGATGCATTTCCTTTACAACATTTTTAAATGCTGACAAGTCAGGCCACGCTGTCTTTTGGACCTGAAAGCACAGAAACTGCAAGGATTTGAACACATTGTCCTAGAAGCCAGTAGCATTTAGGACAATTTTTCCTGTGGTCTTAAAGGTGCAATACTCAAAAAATCCACTCACTTTTTGTGTTTTTCCAGCCAGGCAGCACTATCTGTTAAAAGGCAAAAGTTCTCTGAAACTAGCAGATCCAGCAGGCTTTCGTGATTTGCCTCTGCATATAGCTTGAGTAAAGCTGTGTCAATATCTTCCTTGTAGCCATTTGCAACCTCAGTGCTGCGGACTTCATTCAAGTAACTCATGAGGAATCGTTTGCATTTTGTCATCTTCTCCTGGTCCCCTTGGGTCAGCTGGTTTAGGTCCGCGTACTCATGAAGAGGGGGATGAGACCGTATAAATGAAGAGGAAGTAGGCAACAGGAAGGGGTAGAGAGAGATCAGCTCCCGGACATCAAGCTGGCCGCTTCTGCAATTACAGTGTCAAACTAGATGAAGCAAAAAGAAAGAAAAAGTATACATAGGCACAAAAAAATAACATACTGGGAAATGTGTGCGCACATATGCTTAGAGTCAGGACACTAACAGGTTGTCAGTTTCTGAAAGTTATTGCCTTCTACGCTGGAGAAAATATATTCAGAACAAATTTGGAATTTTTTTTTTTTTTACTATTTCTATCCAAACTTGTTTATCATTCTTTTTCTTCCTCTAGCCATTGAAAGCTCTGAGAATTCAGAGACTGGACAGCCTTTTGGTTTTGACATCCTCCAGCTGTTCTGTGGCATATACAAAAATCAGCTGAATAGCCTTAGTGCAGTTCCTAGGACTGTCCTAGATGTCATCCATACATTATGGAAACCAGAATTCTAATGGAGAAAAAAAAAAAAAAAAAAAAAAAAAGGAGAGTGTGACCCCTTTCAAGCAAGCCACAAAGACTGTGCAAGTGTAATTCTGTAGAAACAGCAACTTCCTGTAGAAAACTAAAGCTTTCAGAACACTTGTTTGGATGATGAAAATGTTTTCCTCAACCCCAAAATGCACCAGATTCCTCCTCTGGCTCACTTAAGGAGGTTCTGAAAACAAACCGTGGATACTGATTATGCATCTGTCTGAGCAATGAGTAGCAGTCTACTGTACAGGCACAGGTCTTGGGCATACATCTATGTCAGATACTATGGAGTGGCTTTTCCACTTTGCATGTGAAGGGCATCTATACTTTATTCAGGAGCGAGTTGTAACATGGACATACTACACAAAACATTTTGCTTTCAGCCTAGATTGAAGAAATTCCTCATGCATTTGAAGAATGCATGTTGTGACAGAAGAATAAAACGAGGAGTTTTTCACACATGGCAAACAACTCCCCAATTTTCACTCCTCCTCTCAGGCCTTGCTTTAAAAGAACAGCAAGAAATCAGGATTTAGATTTTATTGCACTGTCAAAGTCATTATTCAGAATTCATCTTCAAAGATAAGCATTCCTGATCTGCAGGAGATACTGTTGCTTACAAAAAATCAAAATGAACTGACAGTTCTCTAAAAGAAACTCTGGTTAGCTACTATTTTGGTACAAATAAAACTTAAAAAAAATAGTTCTTATCTATCTGATGATCAGCAACCTCAGATAGACTTTCCCTTTACAACCTTGATTGGAAAGAATTCCAAAACCAAGCAAGTTATAATAACGGAAGTAGATAAAGCAGCAGATTTCTGCAAGCAATAAAGTGTGAAAGATCCTCACAAGCAGGCTCATCCCTTCCCTACCCTTGTAAAGTAAAAAAAGCAGTGGGGCATGTCCCAAGTTGTTCACTTTTTGCTAGAGACACAGCTCCAAAACCATCCAGGAAATATGAATTAGTAGGAAGCACCACCATGGCAACACCTATTTAGAACTTTTTAAAAAAGTAAATACTGTCCTTTGGCTACAAAAATCTATACCAGAAGAATGAAATTCTGGGAGATAGCAGCAACAGCAGTAAAAAACCAGCAAGTATCCTGTTCCAGAACCTCTTGACTGCAAAGCATGGCAACAGCAACACGAATAGAGGACCACAACAGAGAAAAATCTGAACATGGGAAGCCTTCCTGTGAGAAGAGGTTTGAACAGCAAGTTTTTCCAATTCACACACAGAGCTCCTACTGCCTAAAAACCACCTCTGCACTAAAAAGGCCAGCCTCTAACCAAGAGGTCATGTCTACTTTGCAGATTACTGCAGTTGGAATTTCCTTTTAATCCCTCTGTTCAGACTTGATATTTGGTTTTGAAATTCTTAGATCTAAGTTATGATGGAACTCACAAGTAGATGAGGGCTTTTGTAAGAGGCAGAATAACCAAGAAGTAGCAAATTCTTTTGGCGGCATGACCTGATGGTTCAAAGAGCATTTTGACTTTCAGTATGAACTCGTTACAGTAATCTAACAGCAGCTTTGGCTAGTCCAACTACTCAAGATAGTTTAAGACCTGAGCACCATCAGAAAAAAATATATTACATAAGATGTATTGCACTAGAAAATTAACCATATTTAAAGAAACAAGAGGTTTTTTTTTTTTTTCCCCTCCAAGGTTCTTCCCTGATTTGTTTTAGAACAAAAGCTAACCCCTAACTTGAATCACATCAACAGGCTACTTAAAATTAGTGCAGAAGCAAGGAGTCTTGATAAATCCACAGAAGTTCAAGTATAAACATTGGTTCCCTTGCTGGGTATGCTGTCAAGTATTTGGAGATGGTCTAAGCTTGAGGTGGAGACTACAACCACAGAAACAGATTAAGAAGTTAAAAATACTATATTTAGCATGCCACTTTTAATAAGTTTTAAAACATTTTCCAACTTCTACAGTAGCTTCTGCATCCTTTCATCTTACCATCCAATTTTTCCTAGATGAGGAAGTAGTCAGCTAACTTTATCTCTGAACTTCGTGGATTCTGGCCTTAATGACCATCTGTTTCCTAAAGGAGAATCAAAACCAGCTTCCAACTCAGGCTAGCCCAAACCCTGGGCTATGCATCACCAGTAGTTCTCTCAGCAGGTCTGACTCAAGCTCACATTGTACAGTTTTGCTCTCCCCACAGCAATGGTAACCAGCAATCAAGCAGCCTCCTTAAAAGCACAGTATCATCCAGAACAAACTTTTTCAGAAAAATACCAAATACTAAACAATGATCCCACCTGCATGAATGGTTAACATTAATCTCAAGGCTTATGGCTCTTGGGATCTGTGGACATCTTGTGGCTCTTTCCACCACATTTGAAGGGAACAGTTTAGGAGTAGCTACAAAGGACCTCATCTCTCCTGAAAAACACATTTGAGTCTTCAGCTTCTAGGATCTCAGGCTTAGCAAAACATAGCTAGCAACTTACCACACAGGAGAAAACAGGCTCTTAGGTCAAGTTGTCAATGTTAAAAGGCAACTTCCCTTTGAGTAATTCTGCATTAGGTCTTTTTGGGCTTCATACATACAAACAATGAAACAGACAGAATCTACAAGTTTTCAGGAAACGAAGGTCTAAATTCAGATCCTTAAATTTACAGATATCAGAGATGTCAAGGAAACCTACATGATTTAGCTGTTTTGCTTAGATCCCACTGGCTGTAATAGAAGCTTATATTCTTGAATCACATTTAAGATGCAAATCTCACACCAAGTCCTACTTCTTATATCTCCAGGTATGAGTAACAGCAGTCTTTTAACCTTTCCAGGGTAGGAAAGGCTTCGGCTGTAAGTCTCTCTATAGCCTTTCCCAAGTGAGACAACACTGCGAAAAGAGTTAATAATTTGATCTGTTAAAAAGACCAACAAAGTTTAGAAAAGTCCCAGTATCTGGCATGTCAGACTGCAAGCAACATCTAACCAGTGAAAGGACATAACCAAACACACTGGAAAGAAATGGTTTCACTGTGACAGCTACCAACATCTCAGCAAACCATCTAGAATTCAGCAAACAGCCTGCTAAACGTTGCTGTTTGGTCTAACTGCGTGCAAGCCTCCAATAATGGCAATATGAAATAGAAAAAATATAATATGTAAACCATAACTATGTAACACAATCACAATTCTGTTATTGCTTGTAACAGAATTTGCCAGACCGAAGCGGCTCGACTGTGACAGCTCACTCAGTAATGGATCCAGCTGAAGAAAGTTCCCCTCCCTTTGCTGAACTATTTGAGTTTCAATAAAGCTACCACTTCCTTCCTTTTTGTCAACCTTCTTCAGTATTCAGAAGTATCAGCATAACCAAAAGGAACTTAGCAGGAAAATATTCTTCTTAAAAGTTTCAGTATTTAAGAACTACAAAGTGTAGCATAAGCTATAACTATATCTTGACAAGGTTATCCAAGAAGAATTATTGATGCAAGAAAACAAGACCTTTAGTCCAATATAATCATTTCCCCTGCTAGTCTGTAACTGACAGATATTTTCTGAGGAGTGAGACAAACTCACTTCATATTTGGCCAGAAGTGGGCCCACATCACACCAAGTTCTTGGAGGTACTGCTGCCACTCAGTTTCACTGCTAAACCCATCTTTTCTCAGATAGGTACCAAGTTTCCCTTTAGCATTTTAAGACTGAAGATATTTCTGACTAATGTTGAGCTTGAAACACCCGCAGACCAGCACATGGGGACGGGAGGAAGTGTTTGCAGAGACTGCCATTATCTTTCCCATTTTTTTTTCTGAACATCAGTAAATCTAAAATTAAGAAGATTGATTGAGAGTATATAGGTGCACAACCAGATATTACTCAAATTGGGTATGTTCACCAGGGCTGAAAAACAGGGAACCTGGATTCCATAAGGAGTTTTTCAGAAAGAGTTATCAAAATACTCTGAAATGAGCATGTACTCTTACATATGGCTGGCCAGAAGAAAAGCACAGAAAACATTGCTTTCTCCCCCCAGCAGACTTCAGCAGTTTATGAACAGTTGTTCTGCTTTGCAGTTGCAGCTTTTAAGAGGAAGGGAATACCCTGGGATGCCGACTCAGCTCCAAAATTCACACTTGGACAGCATGTTTTCTCATTTCTTTCCATAGAGGAGCCCCTCCCTCCCAGTCCTGTTCGTTAAAGCTCATTTGTCAGCTGGACCGGTAGTAGGATGGAGGCTGCATGACTGATCTTGGTTCCTCTCACAAGGTGCTGGAGCTCCCTGCAGGATACATTTCCCCCTTTTCACTGCTTTCAAAAGATTCTCAGGCCACTACCAGCAAGGCAAGGCCCCCAGATTAGACCCCACAGGGAATTATTGCCAGCCAGGGTGGAATAAAGTGATAGAAAAGAAGTTGAAGCGTCAGCCATAGTCAAGACAGCTACAGAGCTATACAAGCCTGGCCACCTAACCACACCTAGACAATGAAGACACTTCATAGCCAGTACAACCTCAACAAGCTATTTTACCAAAGCTGGCTACACTGAAAAAAATGAAAAAAGTCCACTGGAAAGCCACACAGAAAGGCTTTGTAGGGATGTCGTAAAGGATTCCTAACTATGTACAGCTTGTACTTCCTACTTCAGATACACAACACAGCAGCGATTCAATCTAGTGTTTGGAAGATTACAGGGGGGAGGAAGATTGCAAGTTGCTCGCTAACGACAAAAATTTCACGGTGATACAGGAAGTGGCTGCGGCCAAAACAAATTGCCACTAAATGCTCTTCAGGCCTTTCCTGTTGTTCCCTAATCCTCATTCAGTGTACACTGCCCATTCAAGCCCAGTATCTCCCATTACCCTGGTAAGCAGGAGGCAAAATGGTGAAGTCCCTCATCAGGTATTAACATTCTCCAAAGCTCCACTTTCCTTGATACATTTCCATAAACCCAAGGAAAACTTTTTTCCTATATTGCACACACTTAGCACATACAGGAAATTGTCTAACCTTAACTCTATTCCATAGACTCTCAACTGATTTAAAGTAAATTTCAGCAGATAACAAGGAGAGTTATTTTATGTGATCAGCATGGACTACACTACTCTGGACAGCACCCCATCACAGAATGCATGGCTAGCAGAAATGAAATTATTAGGTAAAATAAAAATAATGAGCAGCATTTTTTTTTGAATGAAAGTGAAGTACCAAAGTAAATTTATAAACAAGTGACCGCTGAACCAGCTATACCAGGAAGGTTAGTACAGACTTCAAGAACATATAATCTGTCTTCTGGAACAGGCCTAGCAGAACAAGTCTTAAAAAAATTCAGAATCAGCATCCTCAACAAAATTTGTGCAATTGTGTCAACAATATTTAAATTGTAACTAATATTTAAATTATAACTTTTTGTTAAAAGATTTTTTCTAAAAAAAAAAAAAAAAAAAAAAAAAAAAAAAGAACCAGGCAACATTCATGCTGTAAATCACAGCACAGGCTCAATAATAAAGCTTTGACCTTCATGGCTATAAAGTAAAAAAATTTCCACACATACAACATTCAGATTACAGGATTACAGCCTTAATGCTACTGTATGTTAGCACACCAAAAATCAGTTGCATTAACTCTTCCGTTGAAACAACTTTATAATGTTATTCTGTTTTTGCCCCCAACAAAACCATTTTATCACAGTGAACTCAAATCTGCATCAAAAAACATTCAAGCGACTAAGTAAAACCAAGAACACTAACTCCATATTTAAAGATAAATTAATAAATTTCTTGTCACACAATTACCTGAAGAGTTCTTTTGCTTCAAGGAACTGAAGCTGTGCAAACTGTATAAAACCTGCTTGCTGCAGGATTCGTTTGTACATTACCTATGAAAGAGAAGGGGGGAAAAAAGGTTTATTATGTTGATAAGGAGTTATTTATGTAGTGCTAGTCACTACCGCAATAACTACCTGCCAAAAACACTGAACACATCATCGTTAACCAGACCTGTCAAGTTACGTGCAAAATAAAGCCTTGATCCTCTACATCTGAAATTGTATGTACCTGAATATATTAAATCTGCTGCCCAGACTCAGTTTCTTAGACAAAAATGTGTGAACATAACACTTTTCACAAGTAATTCCTAAAAGCAAAGTTAACAAATAGCAAGTTTAAGTTTTCTTATTTGAATAATGACTTGTCTGACATCAGTCTGACTCGCAGCAAGTTTTAGCTTGTGGTATTTGCTAACGCAAAAGCCAATGGTCATCTCTGAAGTTCTTCATGATTCAGCAGGCACAAAAAAAAAAAGATTTAAACTCAAGGGTGGTCCCCCTTGACCACGCACAGACAACTTTCTCCCCATCTCACCTCACTTCTGCAGCAACCTTGCTGGTGATTCTCATAGTCTCATCCCCAGCTGATGACCATATTTCTGACTTTCTGCCAGTTTGGTTTTTGGGGGTTTGTTTGTTTGGTTTTTTTTAAATAAAAACTGCTTCCAAAGCAGTTCAACTTATCCGATATGTAGTACATTATGCAACGTACATAAAATTATGGTTAGAAAGAGCACAAGGTAACCATATGAAAAGCTACATGGTATGAAGTTTTACTGTTAAGGTCATGCCTAGACAGAAAAAAGTTTACAAGTAGTTCACTAGAAAAAGAACACAAAACTACTTTAAATGCTAGGTATTTATTTAATCTGAATTAGCTACCACAGGAGTAAATGAAACCCTCATGCCCAGAATATTTCCAATGACAAAAGAGAATTACTAAAAGCAAGGAACCTAAACTGTGCTCTGCAAAGCATCCACCATTTGTGACAACACTGGTATTTTGCAAATACACCTAGATACATCCACATGCCCTCAGCTTTTCCCTTCAACTTTCTCACAGATATACAGCTTTCTAACGTTTAACAGTGTACATGAATGCTGTTACTAATAACAGACTCCCATTTTCAGTGAAAATACCCAGAGAAACTGCAATACATTAGCGATGTATTCCAGGCAGGAATTGCTAAAGAGTGTTACGCCTCAAGTAGGGTAGACTGATATTTTAACTGGTGATTTTTCACCTTGATTAAAGATGGTGGATTTACCAAGAAAAAAGCTTGGCTTAAGTCCATTTAGTCTGTGCATGCTTTACTAATAGATTATCTTAAGGAAATACTTAATCTTGATCATTAGCAAGCCATTAAAACCTATGGATGTGTAATGCTGTGGGACTTTTCTTGCCTCCCCAGTGCAGGGGAGAGAAGGGGAAACAGATGAAAATGGCACACCTTTTCAGACAAATGTAACAATATAAAAATAAATGAACAACACTTCATGGCATCTTTACATTAATTAACTTTACTACGCTTTACATCCAAGTGTACTAATTCAAAATACAGTTAACTAAAGCTAAAAGGGAATTAAATTATGGTAATAAAATAAAACTACCTCAGGTTATTAATTCACAATATATCCAAAATATTTTGGATTTACAACTTTGTTATTACATCAATAAATGGTAATCTGTGAACTGATGAATAGCTGTCTGGTTACATTAAGGATGCTGGTAAAGGATTCCAATCTGCAATGATCTGCATCTTGTGGCACCAGAAAAACTCCAAAATCTGGCCTCAGACTTTTCAGGGAGGGTTGAAGTACAAACATTTCTCACCCTGCTAACTAGTATCAAAAATAGTTTGTTGGTTTTTTTTTTTTTTTAAAGTCTGTTTTTAATCTTTGCAATGAGTGACCACTAATATTTACATATTTAGTGAATTAGGATATTGGAATTAAGTTTGAATTGATCTAAGACACTCAAAATACTGCTTTAATTGTACAGCTTAGTCTGTACAGCAATCTTTTAAACTACAAGTTGAAAAGAGCTCATTGATAGTGTAAGTACAGCCCAATGAATCAGTTTTAAATTTGAACTGATTAAGTGGTATTTGCTTTCATTTAAATGTTGACACGTTTTCATTTGTCCCTTAAAGCCACACAACAAAGGTGTAGACTATCTACAGACAGATGCTTTCCCAGCTTTTTAAACATGTAGGGATGATATAGGGAGTATCCAGGTTGATTTTTAGCTGACAAGACAAACACTAGACATTAAGATGTCCTGTGGTAAGGATTATGGAAGCAACAAACCAGACTGTCTGTAGAAATTCAATATTCTCTCTTTCTCACAGGTTTTTAAAAACAGGCTAGACCTATATGGCAACCACATACCATTAACTTTAGTTTATGATAGAAAAAACATCTTGAGTTCTTCCAGACCCATTTGCCAGAATACTGCAATAGGCTTCTTTTAAAAAGTCATTAAGTTACACGCAGTTGAAATTCAATACATTTTTTATTCCCCTATCATTTCTGAAGAACCACTGTAGGACTTGAAGTGAAACCACAACATTTAGGCAAATTCTAAATTGTTGACTGAACTCACATTAAAAAATTAGCTACAACAACATGAAATAAGATTTGTATTAGTTTGTATCTGAAAAAGCGTTGGAAAACAGAAAGAAGACTGCTGAAGCTGCGATAGCTATAGTGAAGCCTTAATTCTCTCAACTGCTAGAAAAATCCTTCTGAAAATGGTTAGAATTACCAACTAGATTGCCAAAAAGATTTTTTTCTAGAAAGTCACTTCGGCTTTTGGTCAGGTTTGGATGCAGTTAATTATGTTTTTTGAAACTAAAAAGAAATAAGAAGAAAAAAAAAAAGAAAAAAAGAGAGATACCTATGCAAGATGTGTGTCAATCTAACCAAGGTCTTCACTACCATCAACCATGATTTCTGCAAACTTCAGCTGTCCTGAAAAATTAATAAGTAGTATTCAGTCATTTCATGGTAGCATGGTAGAAAGGCCTTTGTATTCTTCTACCAAAAATTATATCCAGCAAAGCCATCTCCTTGCAACACTTCTGCTTAGCGTTTTTTTTTTTTTTACCTAGGAGTAATTCTTGATGCTCAAAGACAAAGGAATTTTTATCTAATATGGCAAAGATAAATTTGCAGTCTGCAGGGACCACAGGTTAATTAACAGGTTAGAGCTACTAATGCATGACCTGCTTCTTTCCAGTAACTAAAAATTGGCTGTACTAATAATTCTGAGAGTACAGTACTGTTTCAATCCCACTATCATTCTGCATTACCAGTATACATATATATTTATGCTGACATAATACTGCTGATATAAAGAGAAAGAGCATGCAGCTGTGTATGCATGCAATGACAATGCAGTATTAAACTGTAGGAAAAAACCCACTCCATCAAGAACTGTCCTACAATGCCATGACTGAGTTCAAGTCACACATAAGATGGCAGCAGCCATTGCAAACTGCAGAAATTAGTGCAGAATTTAGAAAAAGGGGGCACTATACATGTACCAGACAATTCATATCACTCTTCTGTATGAATAAATTATAGTGGCTGGATCAAGTGCCTTAATGTCAAACCTTCCCACTGCTTGTATAAAATAGTAAAATAAGGTCTTGAAAGTGTCAGCTACTCAGAAATCAGTAAAGCTTGCAAAATAGGTATCTATTAGAAGATACCTATTATCTATCTAATATCTATTACCTGAAGATATCTCTTAGACGGGAGTTAGAAAGGAGCAACTACGTGATCAGTTAAAGTATGCCAAAGAAATGTTGCAACAGACATATGTAAGGCATTATATGATTATATTATGCGAGACTATAGTAAAAGAAAGTCTGATGTCCTTGTAACAAACCTGTAATAACAGCATTAAGTATCAGAGGCACATTAGAAAGCAAGCTCAACACTTTACATTTCCAACTACAGATAAACTCTGAAAAATTGGACTAACGACTCAACAACTAAGCCAAGTCATTTTAATAGGAGTCAGGTTAATATCAGTTTGCAAATACAGCCCAGAACTAGAACAGGCTATTTTGCTTGCAGTTAATGTTTTCTGTTTTTCAGCTGTAGCACTGATTCAAAGTAACTGAACACCCTTAAAAGCCCATTGAGTTAGAAAGAACTTACAATATTCTTGGAAACAGTAATTTCAGGAAACCAGACACTGTGCACGTAAGATACATATGAACAGAAAGTAACTTATTCTAAAGATGGAAAAAGGCTAAATGTAAGAAAACTTAGGAGGAATGAGATTCTACATCACACATTTTAGATACATTTGCAGTTCATCCTGTGGTAAAAGACAAAGACATCTCCCACAGTAAATCTACATAAACTGGAAAGAAATAAATGGACAATTAGAGGTCATCATACACAGAAGACATTGATTAGATCATGCATCCTGTTCTCACAGCAGGATTTTAGTTTGCTGCTTTATACAGTTCGCAAAGGAAAAGTTGGAAGTGAAGATGCAAAGCAAAACATGCTGGAAACTGAATGTTGTATTTGTAAATGCTTCTCAGCTTCAAGTACTTCCAGATCGTTGTACCTTAGCAAAAGGATGGAAACACTTTTCTGGCCAAGCTTGTAACTTCCAGCAGCCTCCCAGGTGTTCATTCAATGGAGAAGTTAAGGATCAAAATGAAAGCCTATACAAGTTTCATTTAATTTAAGGATTTCTTTTCAAGGGCCTTGACCAAAATTTAAATGACAAGGAATTAGAAACTCCTTGAAATTTAAACAAACAAAAAATCCTTACAGACTGAATCATTTTGGACCACTGCAATTCTGTAATTTCCACAGTCATGTTCCAAACTTTACATCTTCCTCAACAAACCAAAAGTAATGCAACAGATACTATTTTAATGGCAAAAAAATGCTCCAAAGTATATTAAAAAAACCAAACCAGATTTTCTGCAGGTTACAGATCAAATTTTGTTTTTACAAAAGGAAAGAAACCAAGTCAAATATTCATTCACCTACTTGGTGAGTAGAGATTTCATGCTACTTTTTCCAAGTTTCAGTCTCTAAATGACAAATAGGAACAAATACGGTAGAATATTTATTGTAATATAAACCAGAGGTAGAAGGAAATGAGTACAAATCTCTAATCAACACTCTAACCAAAGAGTTACTAAGATACTTTGCCACACAAAAATCTTAAATATTCAGTTACACACCAGTACAAGTACTTGTTGTACGAGTTTGGAAGTAAGACATATTTGCTTTGGATTTCCCATCACTTAACTTCAAAGTTGTACTACTGTGGAGTTCAGAATATGGTGAGAATCTCCAGTAAAAAAAAGTTAATCCTAAAAATTCTGATATTCTTTTCTAAACAGCAATAGCAAATAATAACTGAACCTAGTACTAAGGAAGCACCACAGTGGATTTTCTATCTCTAGTTTTTCGGTTTTGTTTTTTTCAATTTTTTCAAGTTACACACTTGAAGAAAACCAACACCAAAACCCCAGCAGAACAACACCATTCAACCCTGCCAATGTCAGCACCTTTACAAGCACAAGCCAATTCAGCAGCATGTCTATTTCCTCAGGCTGAAACCATAAAAGGCATTAGATTTCCCTTCAAAGTAAATTCCTCCCCCACACTCTCTAGTCACTTGACCGTTGGCATACATGGCCCCACTGTGAAATTTGTATTTTCATGAAAATTAAAGGAAGGACAGACCTGAAATTTCTCTTTTGGAATATTCCTTCGAGCTCCTTTCGCTAGAACAAGGGCTTCTTCCACTCTGTGGCTAGCTAGAAGATCCTGAATCTGTTTTTCCAAAGGTAGTGGCACCAAGATATACACTCCCTTACTAGTAGCAACAATCACCTTTCCTGGAGAGAGCAAACAGACATATTCAGTTTACATTCTCTACAGAAAAAACACATTTCAGAAATAAGCTTTAAGGTTTACTATTTACAAGAACCTAAACAGCATTAAAGTTCCAAAACTCATCTTCGTTGTTACCATATTTACGGGATAGTATAGCTTACCTATAAATTGCACCTCAGAAATACAGAGATAATGGTAAATTTATTTATTTACAGCAGATTTTGTTCCATGCTGTATAAATGAAACTGGTTATAATCTCTCAATATGAACTAAGCTGTAAAGGTCACCGCTGAAACTACTGCCCAGATTCCAGAGAAGAGGGACTTTTAACTGCCAGGCATTTCCACAGGCTTACATTAGACAACTGTAAGCCGCACCTCAAAGGTAGCAAGTAACATACAGTTCATACTGCTAGAGCTTGTAGCTCTCCTGGGGGAAAAAAAAAAAAAAGGCAAGATAATTTATTCCACACTTAAGAGCTCTTAATTAAGGAATAGATCAAAAGAAATTTTTTTAATTTTTTGTTCAGCAATTCTTTATGAAATGTCTCCTTTTAAAGTTCTTATGCAGATATTTTAGTAAGGAATACAAAGAACAATTTTTAAGATGTTAGAACTTTGCCAGGATAGCCAATGGACAAATACCTGCTGTAGCTTACAATTGTTGACTTGCAGCATTAAATTAACATTACTTCTTTGAGAGAAATAATTTTTACAGGAAAAAGCTCCAACCCCACAGACTCCTACCTGACAATTAACTTCACAATTAGAGCACATTTAATGAGCATACGTTTTGTTAGCAGTGTGGAATTTTTAACGACTAAAGTCTTCCTATCATAGTCTGCAAGAATCTAATCAGGAAAGCATTTGCAATGAAAGTTTCAACAGTTAATGTGCTGGCTAGATATTCTGTTTAAAAACCAAACTGAAGTGACTGTACCCACAGCAGCAGTTGTTCCAGAATTACTAATGCAAAAAAGCGTCCTTTTTAATACCTTCAAAGTCCTGTAGAATGTGACCTTCTTTAAAAGGCAGTGTTTGCTTTTGCTGCTGGTCCAGCATGCTGTGCACTGTAATGAACTCATCATCGAGAGCAACCACGTAAGGAAAGCACAAAGCTGCTCCAATCACGTTCTCTGACCAGTGCACGGGGGCGCGCTGTGAAATGCCGTCTACAGTTGCAAACATGCCTACAAAAAGGAAAAAACAAAGTCTGTGGCTCATGCTAGTTGAATACTGTTGTTTTCCCAATACGAAGCATGGGTACCAAAGTACAGAAATAAAAAGTCTCAGAAGAACAGATGCAGTACCAGGTGATGACAACAGCACATCACACCTCCCCGGACCTTACAGACCTGTTGGTTAGTTCAATTAACTTTTTTTTTTTTTTTTTTACTTTCTCCTTCATCACAGAAACAGACAACACTAAAGCTGAAAAGAGAGGAATACTGAAAGAAACTAGCAAGAATTATTCAAGTTTAGTAAGCTTCAGATTTTTTTTTTAATAAGAATTGTGCCACGTAGTTTGAATTCATTTCAAAACACTAATATTTAGTGAAACCCAGCATTCAAACGATACTGCCTTAGTAGAAGCTGCAGACCTTCACTGCCCGACCTATCTGGCAATACAGGCCTATTTGTTCCTTGCAGTGTCAAATGTCCAAAGAACATTTTAGTCAACAGACAATCATTTACTTATACTTCTTCACTTTTGCTAGAGCAAAATTTTCACAGAATGAGGGTCCAGCTCCTTGGGACGTGTCACTTCCTGTGAGGCATCTGTGTTTTCAATCATTTGTAAAAAAGGCAGAGGCTGTGCATAAAGCCTATTTTCCCAAAAGCCAAGCACAGAGTAAAGATTTTTTTAATATCCCAATGATACCTCCTATGCTGTCTTCAAAATAACCACATTAAATCTTCAGTTAATTTGTGTTTCTCTTTGCCATTACCTTTCCTCCTGTCTATTCTGTCCTCCTTCCTTCTCCTAACTTAACAGGAGTTTGACTTGCTTTTGGACCACGTGCTGCTGGTTCTATTTATGCTACTTGGTATGCCCCAATTCTTCCTGAGACACTAACTGAAGGAAAACTCCAAAGTTTTCAGAGGTAGTTCAGTAACCCTTTGCCAACTGAGCCATACTGAAGCACTGTGTAAACTTCTCTCAAACATGAATGAATACCCTTAAAACCGGTATGCTCATGCCATTAAAAGATATGCCCACGAAAATTGTTCTTCATCAGGAATGAGCCACTTGACAGCTGGTAGAATAAATCTGAGCTCTAAAGGACAGAGGAGATTAAAAGATTATGTTATTCAATTTACAAAATCTCTTCCAAACAGAGGATAATGAGGTAAGGGTAGCTGGGTAGGAGGACCATCATGTGGGGGAGAAACAGAAGGTTGTAGATTTTTACAGAATCACGGTGTAGAGATTAAGCTTCTGGATCCTCTGTAGCAGCTTTGAAATGATCGTCCCTTTCCCTTGACTAAGGGTGCAACACAAAATTAAAATTTCACATCTATTAGCAAGTGAAGATATTTGGTTTTTCACTATAATAATCAGCTTTTCAATCAGAGCACCTTACAGAAAATACTTTTTTTTTCCATAATATATAATTCCCAGTTTTCTCTATAAATCTTGACATAGTAGAAGAAAACTTGAGTTACATACATACTAACCAGTAGTAAGCTCAGAGCTAATTATATTTGAAATACTAATTCTTAGAATTTTATAATATTTTTTGAGAATGTCAGAGAAATAGAAAAAACAATTTTAAAAACTTTTTTTTTTTAAAATGACAAAACTCTTTTTAAGGTAATTTAAAAAATACTTTATGGAAGTGAAAGGGTATGCAGAGCAATGCACAGTGCTTTTCTAAGTCAGCAGCTCTCTACATCCCTCTGCCCTCAATAGCTAGGGCTTCTGTAGTAGAATGATGCATTTTCTGCCTTCATCCAGCTCTCACCTAAGGACAACAATAAACATGACAACTACAATCAGAAACCATGGCCTTTTTTATAGTACAGGAATGTGTTTGGTGAAACCAAGATGAAGCCAGTAATTGATTCCGTATTAAAAATGTATGCGCTATCCAAAGGTTACCACAGTTACCCAAAACACAGCAACACTGTTTTCAGCACCAAGAAATCTAGAAATTTATAGAATCATAGAATAATTTAAGTCAGAAGAGGTTTCTGAAGGACATCCTTCCAGCCCCCCCCAAAATGGAACCAACTTAGCTCAGGTTAATCAGGACTTTGTGCAACAGACTATAGATTTAGTTTGTTTGTTGTTTTAAAACAAAAAGCTTTTGTTGAAAATATCTGTAAAAATTGAAATAAAACTTCTTTATTATTATTAACTTGTTTAAGAAGGAATACGAAAACTTTCAGTTATCATAAAAGTTGACAGCACGAGGAATACTATGAGTGGGTGAAAACAAGAAGGGAACACTGCTTACTGTTGACTACCCTGCTTTTATGCAGTGTCATCAGCTATGAGAAAATGCCCTGCCTAACCTTCTATGAATCATTCTGCCTAGTACCCGTGCGCTTGTTATAAGGCTCAGTTCTTCAACTCCATACGTAGTCTACTCAATACAACTGTTCAAACCATGCACCAGTGAGAAGAGTTTATTCCAGAAAAGCAAAAGGAAGGAACTAAAACCAGGTATTTAAAATCTGTATTTTTTTACTCAGTAAAGTCATGGAATAGTTGAAGCAAGAAGGGACCTATGGGGTTTGCCTAGTCCAACTTCCCTGCTCAAAGTAGGGTCAACTAGAACAGGTTGCTCAAGACCTCACCCAGTCCAGTTTTGAGTATCTTTAAGAACAGAGACTCCACATCCTCTCCCAAGACCTGTTTCCTGGTTTGACCACCATCACAATGAGGAATTTGATCTCTTATGTTTATGTAGGATTTCCTGTATTTCAGTTTGTACTGACTGCCTCTCATCCTTTCACTGGACACAATACCACTGAGCAGTCTGTCTCTGTTTTCTTTACCCTCCCCAAACATGCCAATAAGATCTATGCAAGCATTTTCTTCTTTGGACTGAACAGTCCCAGCGTTCTCAGTCTTTCCACACATGAGGTGCTCCAATCTTTTAGTCGTCTTTCTGGTTCTTCATTGGATTTACTCCAGTATGTCCATGCCATTCTGGGGAGCCCAGAACTGGACCCAGCACTCCAAACGTGGTCTCACTAAGACTGACGGGAAAAATTCCCTCTCTCAACCTCCTGGCAGCACTTTTCCCAATAGAATCATTTAGGTTAGAAAAGACCCTTAAGATCATCAAGTCCAACTGTTAACCTAACACTATCAAGTTCATCACTAAATGCGGCCCAGTAGGCTGTTGGACTGTGCCTCACAATGACACTGACCACCACCCTCAAGCATTCATGGGTACATCCCCATCAAGTCCCATGGATTTGTCTGCCCAGTTTATTTAAGTGTTCCATAACCCGATCCTTCTCTGCTGAGGGCAGGTTTTTGTTGCTCCAGATTTTCCCACTCGTCCTAGGGGCTGCGGATTCCTGAAGGAAGGTCATACCAGTAATGACTGAGGTAAAGAAGGCATTAAGCACCTTAGCCTTTTCCATGTCCTTTGGTGCCAGATCCCCTGCTCCATTCAGCAGTGGGCATCCATTAGCCTTCCTTTGATGCTGATATGCTTGTAGAAGTTCTTTTTGTTGCCCTTCATGGTGCTCAGCAGAGTCAATGCCAGATGGATTTTGGCCTCCCTAACCCCATCCCCACACACCTGGAGAGTGCCTCTATATTCCTCCCAGGTGACCTGTCCCTGCTTTCACCTCATTTGCTTCCTTTTCATATTTGAGTTTAGTCAAGACCTGCTTGTTCATTAATGCAGGCCTCCTGCCACCTTTGCTTGTTTTCCG